TATATATATTAGATACATATGTGGGATTATGTCTTAGCTGATTGCCGTGCCACTTCTCTGATAAGCACATGGTGTACCTTGATTTTGAAGTAGTTAGTGTCCATAAATAGATCGTATATAGCCGTCTTCCATGAACGTAGAGCGTATGCATATGTACTGATACTCAGGAACAGCTGCAATAGCTCCTGCTTGTACTTGTAGCTCACGTGGTTGCCTGCCTTCAGCAACGGCGCCAGGGACGGCATGACCGGCTGCAGATAAAGGGTCACCCGGTCCTTTTCTGTCTTCTGATGCAGGGCATTTAGAGTCCCCATGACATACACTCGCAGAACAACCAGTGCTTCACCCACAGGATCGTAGTCCGCCGCCGCTGAGCTTGCGGGAGGGCTAACAGCGGCGCTGCGTGTACTTTTAGTGCCAGGGGTAGGTAACCGTGTGCCTAATTTTTCATTGATCGGGGTTTGTCGCGCTGTGTTCTGATTGGTTGAGGACTGGGAGTTGATGCCGCTGTCGGACACCTGCCGGCTCGCGGGCCAGGATCTATTTATAGAATACAAACATGAGGTAGGTAATTGAGGATGGGAAACTAAACGTGCGATGAAGGAAATGAAAGGAAGTGCATTTATATAGGAAGGAGTGTGAGTGTTAGAGGAAGACGGGTGTGTGTGTGGTGGGGGGGGGGGTGTAAAGAATTGAATGAACATTTCTGCTTGATATACTGTCGTCAGATACATATACATACAACATACATACATATACATATACATACAACATACATACATATACATACATAGATACATACACACACACACACACACACACACACACATACATACATATATAATATACTGACTCACCCTCGTGCACTTACACATACATATGCACGCACTTTCTCTATCAGACCCACCCAAACCAATACATTCTACACACCACAACCCAGACACACACCCAAACCCTACCGTGGGGATGTAGAGGACTGGGTTGCACCTCCAGGTGCACTCCCTGCTGCACCTTGTCCCAATTTTTTGGACTCTACTTCGGTCTGATTGGCTGCCAGGGTGCTTTCGCGGCCAATGCTGAGCGTCACACTGTTGATCATGATGGACACCAAACGGTACGACAGTTCTTGCAGACGCCGACGGTGGCGGTGGTCCATAGAGCTCTTCAGCTGCGAGGAATGGTGTAGGTGTGTGGGTTTGTATGTGTGTGTGTGTGCGTGTGTGTGCGTGTGTGTGTGTGCGTGTGTGTGCGTGTGTGTGCGTGTGAGTGAGTGCGAGTGAGTGTGAGTGAGTGAGTGTGAGTGAGTGTGAGTGTGAGTGTGAGTGTGAGTGTGGGTGGTTTTGTGTGTGTGTAGTGTAGGTATATGAGAGAGGGGTTGTGGTCCGTCGTATACAACCAAATATACATTCGGTGGTTTCCTGAAGTTAAAGGTGCAGCGCTACAGACGACAGTATCACCTCTCGCAAACGCACACTAACACAAATACAAACTCATTTTAGGGTTTAAACGCATACAACTACAGACAGGAGGGCAAACCTTTGGGCCTACATCAGCCCTAACGCACACACTGGCGCATATAACTATCACGTCAACACCACCCAATCACGCACACACTTCAGTCACCAACCCAATATATAGGCCTGCACCTACCATCACACGCACATGCACACGCAGACAAGCACACACACACATCGCCAAGCATCCTATATATATATCCCTCTCTCTCTCATACACACATTACGCCCACACCTTTGTGGCCAATGTGTAGATGATGACCAGACACACACTGGTGCTTGGTAGGTAGTTCGTCGACGATGTGATCTCTCCCAGCAGCTGCAGAATCGACCCCAACGCATCGCTGACAGCCGCCGTGTCACACTGTTCGGTACAGCACAGCAGCATTTGCAGCAGAAGGGCTTCGTTGCGGTGAGCAATCTTGATGATACTGAGGGGTGCACTGGCGTGTGTGCTGTTTGAGTTGGAGCGTGTGTGTATCTCGCGTATGCCCTGTATGAGAAAGCGGAAGCGTCCGTCTCTGCCCAACTGCAGCAGCATGTCCACCAGCGCCTGCTGTGAGTCTGTGATACGCACCCGGCACTGCAGATTGGGGCTGACTTTGGCCCCGGGTTTGAGGTTTTGGGCCGAATCTGACCTCATTCTGGACGCATCTTTCGTGGGCGGTGTTGTATCGGAATATTCGTTGGCTGTGGATGTATGCACGGGGTTCAGTGAGCATGAGATTAAACCCCAACAGCCTCAACAAGTAGGTATGGGCCTGTACACTATGTGAGAGTGTGTGGATGGACATTTGCACATAGGTATCAATGTATGGCTCACACCACGCTGTTCGAGTGCCTGGGTGAAATGAATATCGATAGTATATGTATGTGTATATATTGTTGCATGTATATACTGCTGTATATATATATATATTGTAAGTGTATCTATTGTACGTATATATATATAAATCTTGTATGTGTATGTGTATCTATTATATGTATATATATAT